CAGGAGATACAGTCCCATAGTAGCTAGTGACCAACGATTGGTTCATACGCTATTTGTTCCCCCAGAATCGTGAAGCCCATGTGCACCACTTGTTTGGAATTAGGGTTTTTCAACTCCCCTAGGTAGACTCTCCGTATCCACCAACCTAGTTAAAGCGCCGGACATTCGCTTTTCGTTCTCTTGATTTCGTAAACAACATTAATGTCACGAGAAGGCAGTGGGTAGGACTTCCTTGGGAGAGGCTATATACGCGTGGCCATGTGAGAGCATTTCGAGAGGGAGAGCTAGCTCTCCCCACTTTCGGCCGTACCAGGGAATTTGGGGGCAGACAAATAAACGTTCAAGTTTGAATAGATTATTTAAAAGGACTAACTTTTTATATCTTCTCAAGTGTACGTCATGAGCATTATAATTAACGATTTAAAAGGTTTTAACATTACCAGTTGATTACGTATTTTCGTTTTTCATTTAAAGAACTTAACAATTCATTGATATTATCTTAATCATTGATAATGGGGCATTAACATGATTATCATTTAACTATATCTGAAATAAGTTAACACTCGCGTGCATACAAAAACAGCTTATTCCAACTGTTTTGTTGCCAAAAGTTACCATTTCATAATGTAAAGTAATTTTCAAATTGGAGGAGAACTCATTTTTAGAAAATATATTACGTAACCATCTACTAAAAGTGATAATAACCTTGTATTTGAGTGAATTGGCTGTTAAAATGGGACTATTTTACACATTATATATTATTTATCTCTATGTCATTAATCTTCACCAGTAAATATAACACAACAGTTTTATATCAAAACATAGTGTACACAATGTAAACTGAGTTGAACTGGCCGATCTATTGTAACTTGATCTATAGAATTCGATCAACACTAAAGGATTAGACAAACATAAAATTAGTCATTAATCAGTGATCAATCGGTGAAAATTTATCAGTCCAAGAGGAAATCAATCATGCTCAAGTTAACTCAAAGATAACATAGACTATAAAAGTTTGTTGAACTGTTGGAAGGAGCGTCATTTCCCCTCAGAATTCCGTGTATGCGTCTCCGATCAGCGCCAACTAGTAAGAAACATGTGTTCAATATTTTCTACCAACCACGTCCAATTACTTTATATTAAAGCAAAAACAAACCAGAAGTGAGATGTAGTTAAATACTCTTTTATATTGGGGTGACCATGATACTCATGAACTAATGAATTTGTATTTACTAGTCCAAGTTTCTAATCCCACTTCATTTATAATACACTTTGATAGTTATTGAGTTATGTCAGTGAAGTCTACACCACCCACGACACAACTGTACTTCACTGGTAATAACTTTATACTAGAGCTCTGGAAATTACCTCTTAAAAACAGTCATTAATGAGTACATTACTATTGACACTATCATTTCGCTCCAAGATGTAAACAACAAAATTTAACATTATTTATAGGTCATCCATGTTAACAATAATAACATGCTCGCTAGTGACCAATTTACTGGCAATCCTAGGAGCTCTCGTGAGAAATCATGACCGGTAGAGTTCATCCATATCAAACTTGAGGCATTTATTCACCAACGACACTAGAAGATAGTTATGTAATTTCACAAATTAATTAAAGTTAGAAATGCAAACCATTGAATGCCAACTCAGTGACTTGAAGATTGAACGTTTACCACAAGACCTGAATTTTCTTAGTTCGATTCATATTGAGAGAGGATCGTGAATGCACTTAATTGAAAAGGTTCATATGAGAAAGAAACTTTCCTTGCTTTTAGTGGATTTTTTTCGAAAAAAAACTAAACTCAAACTATAAAATAAAACTGTTACCTAGTACTCAATGGGTTTTTATTTATTCTTCTTCATACTACACCAACCTATTACAGAGAGAACAAACGAGCTTCCAGATGAAGAGGAAATCAGGAAAAGACGATGAAAGTGGATAAGACATACATTACAGAAATCATCAAACTGCATCATGATGCAAGCCCTAACTTGGAATCATCAAGGGAAGTGGAAAAGAGGAAGGTCAAAGAACACATTAGAATCAGATATGAAAATGATGAATAACAACTGGAAAGGATTGTCCATGACAGGGTTGGGTGAAGAGTGCTGGTGATTGGCCTCTGCTCCTCCACAAGGAGTAACAAGCATAAGTAAGTAAGTAAGCTATGACATAGACTCACTTCAAACTAGACAATCTTTACAAATCCTTTTAACTTCAATATTGACATTATTGATTTGAGTTTTTGCTGGAGTTTTGTTCTCTGAGCTGGATGGTTTGGTCGTGTCTTTAAGGTGTTTCTTCTATGTTCTCTATGTCGTTCGCATGATATCTCGATGGCTGTTGTCACGATTTCCAAATGTTCTTATGTGAGCATCCTTTGTAGCTTTATCTTTTGGTCCTCTATGATGTGTTGGTATTTGCGGATCCTGTAGTGTGCATCCGTTATCATTAGGTGTACCATTTTTCTTCCACTTTGCTCAGCTATTCTCCATCCTAATGGGCAATTGATTGGAGGTCTATATCTTACACTTGTTGGTAGAACATGCTGGCGAAGACACTCGTGAAGAAAATCTAGTTGTTCTCGAATGGAAGCCTGTATTTTGGCGAAATTCTCACATTTTTCATCCAGCTCAGAGAACAAAACTCCACCAAAATCATCCACCTGAGCTACAAATCTTCTCCACCATTGATTTGAGTATTATATATCCTTTTATTTAATTACCATAATATAACACCTAATCCAGTTTTTTGGTGGAGGGGGGTTTCCCAGTTGTATTCAATAAAAATTAATTGAAAAGTCAAAAATAACCATTCAACTTTTACCCTTATCAATCATCAATAAAACAAATAAACAAACTAGTATGAACTTGACTTAGAAATGAATCATAATAATAATAATAATGAGAAAATCACATCTCATTCTAATATACACCTTCATTAGTTTAATTTCTTTGTTGTATCAATGATGACTTTTGTTTAATCGAGTGTAATTATAAAAATTGATTTTTTTTTTCTATTTTTTTTTTCTGTTTTTGAAACAAAATTGAAAAAATAAATAAAAAATGAAAAAAAAAGAGGATGCCATTATTTACCTGTCAAAATAACAACAACAACAACAACAACAACAACAAAACAGATCTCCACCCCTCACCCCCCCCACACCACCACCACACTTTTTTTTCCACTAACATATGTATACAAATATAAAAATGAAAACAATAAAAAAGAAATATATATATATACCCTTAAACTTAGTTCCTTTTAATCATGAATATGTCATCATCAGTTTACATGTGAATGAATGAATGAATGAATGATAGTAGGAATGAATAGATTGTGAAATAGGTTAAATGATACAATCGGATAATTATTAAAGCATGATATAAATAAATTATGCTAATAATATACACTTATTTAAGTAGTCAAAAAGAGAATGTGTAATGAAGAGAAAAGTTAAATAAGTGATAAGAATGAAAAAAAAAAGAAGGTGAAATGATACATTTGAATTCAAGTAAGAAGTTTGATCATATAAAATGATTATGAAATGAAGAAGACAGGGAAACTTTATTTATATATGTTATTATATAATAAAACTTGTCATTTAGTTAAGTTTTTTATTGTTTATTGAATCGTAACATTTTCCGGATAATAATAATAAATTCACTTGGTATTTTCGACAGTTGAGATCATGAGTCGATTGAAGCTAGATCACTATGGAAAACCTGGAAGCACTGGACGACCGTTCTGTCCTATTGTGGGACTCCTCAGCAGTGAGCATTCACGATCCCGCACCCCTCGGGATTCGAATCCAGGACCTATCGGTTTCGCGCCAGGCACTTAACCAACTAGACCACTCAGCCGGCATCCAATGGTGTTAATGTCTAACTTCAACTAATCCACGAAATTGAGCGACACATCCACCATTGTCATCAATGAGTTACTACCTCACAACTGACGCGGTTGAACTCCACTGGTATTATTTACTTGAATCTTCCCATTGATGTTTAGGCTGCAATTGATCAGTCTCTTGTTGGTATTTGTTAATACTGTACGTATTGCCTTGATATTGCCTTAATTCACAAGCATTCTAAGCAAGGATGGATAGTGCTTAGTGGTTGAATCAAGGACTCATCAGTTGGATGTACCTGCATCTCAGAATTGATGTTCACTCTGAGACTCGAACTCAATAAATCAACATTGAGATACAGGTATATCCAGTTGACCAGTCCCAAATAGGACGAAACGCGCTTTCTGGATTCCATTGCTAGCCACTATCCATCTTTGTTAATAATAATAATAGTAATAGTTAAAAAACAACGTAGAAGTTTGTACGTACGTACATCAGTTCGAGTTGCTATATCACATTACGTTAGCAAAGAGATACAATTGTCAATCCAAATCACATAGTGGTAGAGGTAGCAAAAGTGTAAGTAGTAATAGGAAAGATTAGGGTTTGAGGATGTTATTCAAGGAGTATAATCCAGTGAAATGAATTTGGAGAGAGAGAAAAAAAAGAAGGGGATATGAATAATTCAGAGGATTAGAATTTGGGATAACACAAAATGTGGATGCATCTTCGCTATTGCAAACGATTTTAAGCCATGTCATTCAACGTCTCTAACCATCGGTTACTATCATCTTGCGGATCCCAACCAGGTAATCTACACCTACCAACATGGCTCAGTCCACTTGTCAGTGACTTCATGGATTTGTGTCATGTTTTGGTCTGGCCGCCTCTAGCTTTCATCCAACCTACTCCTACACAATAAAACATTGCTCGTCGAGGTAGTTGGTGGTTGGGCATACGTAATACATGTACCAGCCACCTCAAATGATGTAGTTTCACTACCTCGTCAATTGATTTGCCATCCATACCAAGTACCCGTTCCTTAAGAACTGCATTACTTATTCGGTGGTTCCAGGATATACGAACAATGCAACACCTGTGATCAAATACTAGTAACCTACGAATATCCACAGCCATAAATTAGGATGGAACGAAATGCTGCGCAGTAAACCCGACCTTTGGGTGGTAGACGGATATCTTGCCTGTAGTAGTAGTAGTAGTAGTAGTAGTAGTAGTAGTAGTAGTAGTAGTAGTAGTAGTAGTAGTAGTAGTAGTAGTAGTAGTAGTAGTAGTAGTAGTAGTAGTAGTAGTAGTAGTAGTAGTAGTAGTAGTAGTAGTAGTAGTAGTAGTAGTAGTAGTAGTAGTAGTAGTAGTAGTAGTAGTAGTAGTAGTAGTAGTAGTAGTAGTAGTAGTAGTAGTAGTAGTAGTAGTAGTAGTAGTAGTAGTAGTAGTAGTAGTAGTAGTAGTAGTAGTAGTAGTAGTAGTAGTAGTAGTAGTAGTAGTAGTAGTAGTAGTAGTAGTAGTAGGAGGAGGAGGAGGAGGAGGAGGAGGAGGAGGAGAAGAAGAAGAAGAAGAAGAAGAAGAAGAAGAAGAAGAAGAAGAAGAAGAAGAAGAAGAAGAAGAAGAAGAAGAAGAAGAAGAAGGAATATGAGTATCAGCATTTTCTATTATTCTTTTTTTATTCATATCATCATCCTTAATTATTAAAATAATATTTTGCTTCAATTATTTCTTTTTGCATGAATTCCCTATCATTATTCTTTTTTGTTTGTTTTTTCTTAGTTTAAAAGTGTTGTAATCCACTGACATAATGAATAGATAAAGATATTAAGATTGAATATTAGATTTGATTAGTCTTTTGTTCATATTATTCAATAGTTAAAAGCAAGTAGATAATCTTAATCTTTTTTTCTTCTTCTTTATGTACACTTTCAGTGATTGATCTCTTTTTTTTTTCTTTTTTTTGTTCTTTTTTTATATTTTTTTTATATACAAGTTTACTACTATTGTCATCAGTTAGGTAAAAAGAAAACATGTCCACATTAATGATAGTGGTAATGTTTATGATATGAATACTAAATATTCATAATAATAATAATAATAATAATAATAATAATAATAATAATGATAGTTGTGCCTAATTCGGTGTTGATCACCTTTTCTGAATCGACTTTTTTTTTCAAGAAAAAAGAACAAAACCAACTTATCTTATGGTTATCTTTTTCCCATGAATTGGTAAATCATAAAATTGACGTGTATACACGCAGATTTGTGCTCATGATGGCATGAATATGCATCATAAACGAACCTACGTACGTACACATACACACGCACGCACATACATACATAGATACATAGATACATACATCTATACATGTAATCAGTTTCACGCAATAGATAATTCTTTTCCTTTAAGTTAAATATATTGTGAGTAATAGGAGGGGGGGGGGTCAATCAGGAAAATAAATCGGATTAATGATTTTTCTTTCAACAACAAAAAATATTCTCCACACAATAAAATAAAATAAAAAAAAACTGATAATGAGATGTTGATGATATTTTAATGTTTATGATAATTTTTCTTTTGTGTTATCCATCAACTTCTTTTGACTTGTTTTTATTGATGCAATAAAAAAAGACCTTTCTGATATGGATTTCATGGTTTGGTTGTATATACAACTCAGTCATACAGGAGATCAGTTATGAACCGAACAGCTAGAATTAGAAAGAAAAGCTCAGGACAGAGTGGGATGGAGAATGCTAGTCGACAGTCTATGTTCCATTGTGAGTAACAGGTGTAAGTAAGTAAGTAAGTAAGTAAGTAAGTAAGTAAGTAAGTAAGTAAGTAAGTAAGTAAGTAAGTAAGTAAGTAAGTAAGTAAGTAAGTAAGTAAGTAAGTAAGTAAGTAAGTAAGTAAGTAAGTAAGTAAGTAAGTAAGTAAGTAAGTAAGTGGGTGAGTAAGTAAGTAAGTAAGTAAGTAAGTAAGTAAGTAAGTAAGTAAGTAAGTAAGTTAGTTAGTTAGTTAGTAAGTAAGTATGAAAGTGATCGATAAAATATTGAATTTGTTAAAGAGAATAAGTTCCCTTAAAAGTACAGGTACATTTTACTGATGAGTATGAATTGTAATGAGTCTTAGATCTAGAATTTTTAGTCAATTATCACTAGGCATCACTTATCAAAATTATTCTAGTTTGTTGAAGTATGGCTTTTGTAAATATTAAATTAGTGTAATTTATAAGTTTATTTCATTGATATACTTCAAAGTGTATGTTATACTTGTACTAAAATGTTAATGAAATATCTATTTCAATAGTTGAGATCATGAGTTAATTGAAGTTAGACCACCGTGGAAAACTTGGAAGGACTGGACGGTTGTTTCATCCTATTGTGGGACTCCTCATCTATTTATCACAACAGACTTAATAATAAGAATAGAATAATAATTGGTTTGTAATTCCAGTATTCGATGATAATATAATACAAGGTAATTTATTCCGCACTGAGTCATTCATTTTATAAGTATTACTGATAATATTCGACTGTTAGAGTAAAGTAAGTGTTATGAGGTTCGAACTAAAATCTGTGCTTAAACTTTCAATCCAATTTTAATGGAATTATTTCTGAAAGATTGAACCAATCATCATACATTTCACTCGAATAAACTATTAACTGGAATTTAACAAAAAATCATGCTATATGATCGATTTTTCAATATTTTTGTAATATCTTCAATACTCAGTGGCTACAGATATTTAACGATCACTTATTTAATTACGCCTGTCACCCCTAAAGGAGCATGGGCCGCCAACCAGAATTCTCCAACTCATTGTGTCCTACACCTTTCTTTCTGGTTCTATCTAATAGTTTTTCATTCTCCTCATGTCTGTTTCCATTTCTCGTTGTGATGTGTTCCTTGGTCTTCCTCTTCTTTTAAGATTTTCAAAGTTCAGCAAATAAGTGTACTACCGTTAAATTATAGGGCTGAAATCCACTAGTCTATATTTCTCATTTCGATCGAATAGTTACATACTACATCCATGAACTAATGTCATCGGTTACTTCTATATCACTTTCTATATGATTAGAAACTAATTACGACTTCTAGAATTTTATTAATTTGCTTTATACCCAGTCACTCCTCGGCAAAATTTTACATGCATCTTCATGCTATTCTCGAAAAATAGTGGAACTGTATCCTATAAATTAACATTAATAGTCAATGGAGATCAGCCTAGTTTACTACTCTACCGTAATTCTAGATTAACAATGTTTTATTCGTGTTGGAGATACCTATGAGATGCACTGACCGACTTGATTGATGTATTTCATGTGTGAATATAATGTGCACTTGTTAAAATAAATAAAAAACTAGAAGTGTATTTTACCGATTTAATGGTAGCAAATCCTAACAGCTCATCCTTTAGATTTCCATTAACATACGATTCCCCAATGAAAATATTTATCCCTTCCCAAGTATGTATACCACTCGAGTAAATAAGATATTATCCAGACATGAAAATTGGTTTCTTCAGAAGGCTTCATCAACCTTCCCAATTCAAACAGCGCTACCTAGACACTAGCAAATAAATGATGATAATGATGATTATGACGGCGACGACGACGTTTAGGGATTAAGCATCATATAAACTCCAGATTTTCGTTCAATCATCAAACTTTTCTAAGAATAAAATACGTTATTATTTTTTTATATTTAAGATTATATAAATCAAAATGAAATTGAATTCTTCATTTGTATAGTTGACCTAATCTATCAAAATATTGAATAAATTACTTCTTTCTAATTATGTGATGTGATCAATTGGTTGAAATCATCATAAAACTGGAATTCATTGATTTACTTATTTTTTCTTCTTTTATTGAGTTTAAACTACTTTTCTCTTTGGAGAGAAAAGAAAATATTTACATTTTCTTTTTAATGAATAATAAAAGTTTAGAAACTACTGAAAAATAGTAAGTAGTAAGTGTTTATTTTAGTTTTGGTATTTAAATATAAACATGATGATGGTAATTATATATGTAGAGGTTTGTTGGCTGTATGAATTTATAAAGTTAGTGGATAATGCGTTAATTATTTAAGTCTCGATATGAACATTAGTACTGGAGATCTAGGTACATCCAGCTGATTAGTTTCAAATAGGATTAAGCACATATTTTGAATTCTTCTGTTCGTTACTATACGAAAACTTGCATCTCATTGATCACAGGTATTTTCTTCATGGTCATAGATACATCTTAGTGGATGGGACACACATTGAGGAAAGCACCGAACTGTGTCAAAAGGCAAGTCCTCACATGGAATCCTCAAGGCCAAAAGAGAAGAGGAAGACCAAAGAACACATTACGCTGAGGAATGGAGACAGACATGAGAAGAATAAACAAAAATTGGATAGAATTGTAAAGGAAGGCCCAGAGTGTGTTGGGGAATGCTGATCGGCGGCCTATGCTCCGTTGGGGGTAACAGGCGTAAGTAAGTAAGTAAATAAGTAAATAAGTAAGTAAGTAAAATACATCTTGATGACGAAATGACAATCATGATAGAATTATGGTCTATAGGAGTTTTCCGTCAACTTAACCTCGATATGAAGTGAAACGAAACAAAGATTATTAGCCATATCCGAAAAGGACTGCCGTCAGAATTAACGTTAGACAATGTAATATTTGTTTATGATTAAATGATCAGTCAGAACAAATATTTAATAATAATGTGGATTTTTTTAAAGCCTATAATACTAGTCTACATTAAATTTGAGTGAGTAACATTTGGTTGTAACGTCTCTAATCATTCAAATTAATCGGCATACTTACATCACGAACTGACCTTAGTTACAAAATCATTTAACAGTTGTTCTATGCTTATATTTGAATATTCATCAATATGTATATATAGAATTCAAACTAAGGTTTGGATTGAAGAATAACTGTCTAGGTAGTTTACGTACGCGCTATTGCCCAGTTGAAACCAAAACAAGGTGATAGGGTAAATGGCGGTTCATTCAGTTATTGAACCACTATTTGTTCAATTAATCAAATCATTCGCAACATATAAATGTTAGTCTATCCTTTCTGGATAGATCACGTACAGATTCGTTCGAAAGATAGTATTTGGTTGTGTTATAATACAGAATGTTTACAATTCTAGAAGAGTACTTCAATTCATAATCAAAAATGCACTGTTCCAGTCAATGCAAGCAACACAACCAAAAGGGGAACAAGTCATTTTGGCTGCCGCCAAGACTAAGTATCAACTAAAACAGCATAAATGCAGTTCAGGAAGAAACATGAAGACTCGGTGAAAGCGTAAGGAAAACAAGAACTACAATAAAATACAAATATTACCATTTCAAATGGAATCAGAAAGACTAACAACAACTGAAGGAATCAATAGAAGCAAATTACAAGTGTTAACATGAAGGGATTTTCATACAGAAAATCTTCAAAATATATCTTACAATATCCAAAATCTATTTACAACTTTCTAGTTCACAACAATTATGTAAGAAATTTCCTCCGATGATGTAAACTATAAAACTCAACAATCTATAAAGGAACCCATTCATCATAATACTAGACAATAGAATTAAAGCTCATAATCCTAATAGCTTAGTTAGATCTTTGGTAAAAGAGATGATCGAATTCATAACTTCAAAAAGAAAAACAATCATATT